CTTTTCTCGCGCGCTGGGGCACCGCTCCGTCGCCTGCACGCTCAGCCAGCGCAGCCCGAGCGAGCTGCTGGCACACCAGGGCTCCGGGACGCACAGGAGCACCAGCAGCGACGCAAAAACCAGCTTAGTCAACTTTTCCCTTACCCACGCGCTTCAGCGAGCAAAGCAAAGCGAGCAGCTGGGAAGAGGTGCAAAAGCGGCCTCGGTAAATTCTGCTATAAAAAGCCTCGCTGGAAACAAGCGCAATGGCAGCGAGCAGCCAGTGCGCTCCGGACAGAGCAAAATCATCCTGATGACCATGCATCGCGCACACTGCATACGGAAACAGAGATCACAAAACCCTTACACGTTTAAAAATACACGTTCCTTTTCCCGCAGTGAGCGAGCAAGCCTGCCTGCTGCGCATGCCGTTCTCCCCAGTCCTCCCCAAATTCAGAGCAAAGATTAAACACAATTAGCTGGTATCAGCCAGCTACAAATAAATAAATAAATAAATAAATAAAGCCAGCCAGTGTATGCTTGACTACTACAGTATTGCTGATGAAAATTTAGCGATAAAATTTTAATGGGACTGAAAATTAGGTTAAAAGCAAATATTTAAAGACAAACTAATGCATTTCAGCCAACAGTAAAAACAACAGCAATAGAGATAAGACCAAAGACAACAAAACTGGTTCATGCGGAGCACAAACTTGTGTTCGTGGGTAAGCAGCACAGACTGGTTGCAGTGAGAGACATCAATACATAGCGCTTAAAAAGAATAAAACAAAGCCAGACTCTTCACTTCTCCCTGAAAGAGCAGCTTAAATTTAAAGATATTTGTTTTACATAATTGGGGTATAAAGAAGAAAATATTTGCTTTGTAGTAATATACACTTTAAGATTCACTTTTCAACCTTTATCTCAAAATGGACTGAACACTGGTTTGTTTCTGACTGTGTAAAAATTATCACGTAATAACGGGATATAAGGCAAATAGCACCGACGCCGTCAGAGCGCTGAGAGCTGGCGATGCCGTTCTCGTAATCCCTTCGCGAAACGGCACAGGCCCCGTGACGGGTGGCAAGCGAGCGGCCCCGCGGTCAACCTGCGCCCCTGGTCCTTTGGGAACACCAAGGCGCCCCGGTCCCCGGAGTCCCCCGGAAACAACTGATTTACTCCGTTAAACCTCCGTACGGCTTCCTTTAAGAAAGGGATTATTAGGGAGAGGCAGCTCTCGGAATCTGAGACCCTGCGAATCGGGCACGCGCTTCCCGCGCGGTCACGGCGAGAGCAGCTCACAGACCACGCTCTGCGCCACGCCACGCGATTTTCTCCCCTCCTGGGGCAAAGGAACGCGAATGGGGCACGCCTGACACGACAGGCCCGAGCCACCTCCGCATCTTCACTCAGGTCTTAAGAGAAACATACAGGCGACCTTACTTCAGAGATTTCCCAGCCTTTGGACGCTTGCTTTTGCAGCCAGGGCAGCATCCCTCTCGGGCAGCGTGAAATCCCCAGGCGGCACTGCGAGGCAGGGAGCAAACGGCTTATCTGTCCCGTTCCCTGGGCCAGTACCAGCTGGGCCAAGCACAAGTTCTGGCCAGTTTCTGCTCACGCCAGTCACGTTTTTAACGGCAGTAATGACGATCAGAAAGAAGCAGAGCCGACAGATAAGAACCACTGCTTGCTTTCTGCGCACAGGCTTACGCAGGCAGCAACGCCAGCCGCAGATGGCCGGAAGGACAGACGGACGGACCTCTTTGCCCGCTGGAAACCCTGCGGGCGCAGGGCTGAGCCGCCGCTCCGCGGGGCCGCCGGGAA